AGAAACAACTGGATGTTTCTGACACTGGCTCTCAGTGCTGTGGTCTAGTGGTGTGCAGTCAAAGGTTGGACTCAATGATCTTAGAGGTATTTTCCAGCCTAACAGATTCTGTGTGTGATATGCAGGAGAAAGACTATGGCATAAAGAGGAGTCGCAGAAAAACAGAACTGAAAAAATGCTGTTAGTTACAATCTAGTCAATAAATTGAAGTGAGGAAGTAAAGAACACCAATCGTGACAAAAAAATATTATTGAAAACTCTTGGCTAAAAAGGACAAAAGCAATCCAATGCTTCTTAACATTGATTCATGTCCTTTGCAACATTTCTTTATGTCTTGGTGTTCTGCTTTGTGGTAGTATGTTGTTTATCTATGTGTTCATAATGCTTCAGTCAGTAAAGCTTGTCCAGAGGCATTTCCAGCAGAACAATTTTGCTTTTGGGAGTAGCTCTGTGATTAGTTTGTGAATTCTGTCAGGATTCTCTTCTGGGTGTGTGAACAAGAGCATGGGTATGTGACTTGGTATGTATCCCTCATGTTCTTGAGATTCAAGAAAAGCACTCCATAAAATTGTGAGCACTGTTATTACCTTTGGGAAAAAAAAAGACAGATATCTTCAGAAGAAGGAAGATACTTAGAATCACAAAATGGTTTAGGGTTTTTTGACATTTAAACTCATCTAGACCAAATCCTATATCACAAGCAGGGATACCTTCCACTAGTCCAGGTTACTCAAAACCCCATCCAACCTGGTCTTGAAAGCCTCCAGAGATGGAGCATCCACAACTTCTCTGGGAATCTGTTCCACTCACAGAGAAACTGGAAGTAGTACAAGTATGTGTCATCTGGATACCCAATAAATGTGTTTATGCTGGCAGTTTGAGCAGATTGAGCTGCAAATTCAAATTTCTTTTCCATGTTTTGTACCCATAAATCTCTGTTAACAGGAGCAGACACCCAAATTCTATTGCATTCTCTTTTAACATGATCACAGGTAAAGTCCACCAAGCACATTGATTCATCCTTTGTGTCTTGTGGAAAACAGAACAAATTTGTCAGCAAAATATTTTGACGTATTTCATCTATTCATGCTTGTACTTCTAATGAGAGATGAGTTTTACTGATATTTGTGTAGCATTTGCTGTCTCTCTTTAAGAACATTTCTGGCTTAGTTAATACAATTCCTGTTGTGAACAAGCCTTGGCAGTAAAACAGAAAAACTTCATGAGTGTAAGAGCTAACATCAGCCAATCTGTGCTTCAGTTAATCATGTATCTGTGAGCAAGCAGAATGTGCCATTTTTAAGTTCTAATGGTGGGATATTTTATGACAGTACTGTGCCAGTACTGGCCTCTTTAGGAGATAGGAAGCATCAGAAAGTGTCTGAACCTGAGATAGGAAGCATCCCCTGGCAGTGTCTGAACCTTGGATTCCCAAGGCTTTGTAGACTTAGATATCAAAGGCAGAAAGCTCCAGCTGGGTTGTTTTTATTGTCATTTCCTCATATTCTTTTGGAATGTAGTAATTTTCACTTTTAGGTGGAGTTGGAAAAGTTAAGTAATATAACATATTCTGATTATATAAATTTTTGTGGGAAAATAAGGTGTATGTAGTAGCCTGTGCTGGATTAAAACCTAGCTCCCAATTTAATTTCTCACTTGAGAGTAGGTATTTCTCATGCTTCACTCCTTTGGGGTTTTTTTTAATAATCTGAAGGATTGAGTAGCTGCATAATCAGCTCTTCCTTATCCAGGAAAAAAGTCAATTATTGGCAGATAAATCAACTGTATTATTTTTCCTCTCCTCTCACCTAGTTGCTATGCTGCAAATTACAGACAAGGTCAATTTTGATCATAAATGCTATAATAACATTCATTGCCAGATCAGAGTAATAGTTCTTGTATCCCGGCACTTAGGCTGCACAGGCACTGACCTCAACAGGCTCATGACAGAGGAGTTTATTGTTGATGGCAAATAACCCATCAACTACTTTTTGAAAGCAGTGGGGAGAATAAGGTTTCTTTTTCTTATACTTCTCAGATGTTGCAGGATCAACTTAGGTGCTCTCAGACTTTGAATCAAGTAATTGAATTCTTCCTTGGCACAGTGTGACAAGTGAAGAAAAGATCAGAAAGTGAAAGTGTCAAGGAGAATAAAGGCACTTTTATTCTGTTAAAATCTGTCCTTGTGCTCTTAGAAATACATTCACTGATTATTCTAATCCTGAAGATGGACTCACCTAAACTCTCAATTCAATAATTGCTTAGAAATCAATAATTTAGAAGACACAGAGAGTCTGATAAACTACTGAATAACGAGACAGACTTTTAAAAAAAACTGTATTAGATCAAATTACACACTATTAATTATTACATGTATTAACACATATATAATAATATTAAATTCTACTAAAAGAATACCCATTGCATTATTTATAAAACGATAAATGTCTCTCTCAAGACCATTAACTATTTTGAAGAAAGAGGGAAAAAAAAGCTACCCTTAAATTAATTACTATATAACAGTCACAACAGATCATTACACTTTTATTCCAGATGGTGAAATGCCAAGCCCAGTTTATCCCTGAAAAATCTAAGCATAGTTCAGTCTTACAACATTTTGGAACAATGACTCAGTTTTTCATAGCTGGCCAAGGTCTCACCTTGACTCATGTAAGTACCCAGGGCATGCATATGTAACTGGTTGCAAATTAAAATTCTAAGAATTTCTGGGAGGAGGGGAAAGGTGTTAACCATTCTTAAGTAAAAACAAAACAAAACAAAACAAAAGCACAAAACAAAACAAAAAACAAACAAACAAACAAAAAAACTCCCAGTGTTTGTTATTGATTCTCCATAAAAGTACTAATGAATCAGACTGTCCATATTTTTGGTTTTCTTCTTTTACATAAATACTATCTGGATTACATCTAGCACAAATCACTGCACTTCTTTCTTTAAGGAAGTTGGAGGCAAATTTTTAATGGAAAACTAGGCTTGAAGCAGACAGAGATTCTCAGGAGCAGCCCCCTTCCCCACCAAACACAACCAAGAGGTTTCCCAGAAACACTGAGCTCTGTTGAATATTATTTTGAACAGCAGAGTAAAAGAGTTTGGTAGCAGCAGCTCCCTCGGTTTACCTCTCCAGTATGCTGTCCTAGGACAGCTGTGTGCTTCACTTAACACAAATCAGGCTAATACAGCTCTTGGTACCAAACCTCGAGCTCTTGTGCTGCCTGCTGCCACCAGGGCAAAGGCAAGTCGTGTGGAGCAGCAGCTGTTGCTGGGAAAACTGTTTTCATTCCTCTCTTCACAGGAGGATCAAGTGAGTTTACTGCTGCAGGGCTTGGTCCCTTCACCCTGTTTCTCCATTCACCTTATTACTCAGCAGCAAAACCAGCCTTTCTCCCACTCTTTATACTTTCTGCCACAAAAGACAATTTTCCTTGTCTGGAATAATAGCTTGGAAAACAGCTCATTTCAGCTGTAGCCTTGACGACCACAACCGCAAGACTTTGGTGTGAAAGAAACAACTTTGGAAAAGGGGGTTTTGCTAGTCCTAATTGAGAAAACTTTTGGTGCTATTTTTGAAAAATTTATTACTCTGCATTTCAAAGAAACAGTGTTTTTGTGTTTTAAGCATACTAAACTGCATGAAAGATTTTTCTGCCAGTTTCTTCTCCAAACTAGACTAATCTGCAAGACTTGTGATTTGGTTTGTGTGCTATTTTCTCATGTCAAAGATGTTAGAAATACAATAAAAAACTGCAATGTGTCTTAAATAACAATTTTATGTCATTGTGAGTTTTATTAAACTGCAAGACTTCTCATAAGAATTGCCAATATAAGTAAGTAAAAGTCACTTCCACATGTCTGGTTTTTCTTTTTTTGGAACACTCTATTACCTGCCTAAGCTGATCTCAAAATCCATGTATGAACATCCCACTGATATCAATAAATCCAATATTTTTTTAACTTCCTTCTCAGTAACATAACACATTCTTATGCAAAGAAGGCAAGATAGAGGTTGATGACTTGCCCATAGCAGACTAAAATTAAATTTACTCTGCACTTTCCTGCTGTATTGTCTCTTTCCTCCCACCATTATCTGGAGGGTTTGTAGGAAAGATAATCTGTCATGCATTTATATAGTGTCAGCACAATGGGGAGTGCAAAGGTCTTTTAATGCTAAACCATGTAATGACAAACTTTGCAATGCAGCCTTGAAAATAGTAGTGTCAGCGCCCTCGGTGCCAAGCTCATTTGTCAGTTGATAATAAAGTTGAAGAATAAAGGTCACTTCAAACATTAATTCAGAGGACATTCATGGTGTTATATTTGATTCACACAATTCTGCCTTTGTGAACTCTTAGTCCAATAATCTCAATAGTGATCCTCTTAGGGTGTGTTCATTATGTACTTTGACTTAACTTGTTGGAGCAGAATGTCGTTCTGGGGACACATTTCTCTGAGTTAACAAAATTATTTTTTCCCTGCCTTTCATCCTCTTGAGGTTGTTTTTTTTTTCTGTAGATCATCTCCTTTGAATGAGGCTGCCTACTTCTTTCTGGAAGTTCTGGTACCTCAGCTGGCATCTATTCTCTACTCCTAATGTCTCTTCTAATGTCCGACACAGAGGACTGACCAGACAGACATCTGAAGGTCTTAGAGGTCTTTTCCAAACTACAAATTCTATTGTAAATTAAATTTCTGCAAGTGGTTACAACCCGCAGGTTGGTTGCAAAGCCGAGCTGCCGGACACTCGTAAAACACTACCAGACACATTGTCGAAACTCTCACCGCTTCCCGGGGAGAAACAGGGACCCCAAAACCCACCGGGCATCTCTCCCGTCGTTCGTGTCTCTCGCACGGTGGAGAGCACATCCCTGGGATGGGCGAGGGTCCGGGGGCACCCCGCGCACCGCCCGGGCACCCCGCGGGAAGGCAAAGGGTGCGGGGCAGCCTCCCGCCCTCTCCGCGCCCAACCACTCCCGGTGAAGAAAGTCCCACCAGGGGGTGGGGAAATGGCAGCTCCAGGAAGTCGCCCGCGGCTGCGAGAGACGCCGAGGGAGCGCAGCCCGTGGGGTGGCAGCTCCCAGCCCGTCGAGCCCGCCGCCGCCGCGATGAGCTCCCCTCAGCGCCCGCCGCTCGCCCATGTCTTCAAGGGGACCTTCGTGCACTCCAGCGCCTCCGCCCCCTTGGAGATCCTCCACGGACACCTTCTGGGGGTGGACGATAACGGGACAGTGAGTGCGGGCTGGGGCGGGGTGCCGCGGACCGGCGCGGTGCGGGCGGCGGGGGCGATGCCGCGGCGGTCCCCGGGAGCCCCGGCGCTGCGGGGCAGGGCCCGCCCGAGGCGGTGACAACGACCCTTTGCGGCCCCGAGTCCTCGCCCGGGGGTGGCGAGAGGCAGGGCCGGCTCCGCCGGACCGTGGGTGAAAGCGGAACATTTTCGCACTACTGTCCTCAGGGGCAGGCGCCGCGGAGAAGGAATTTCGCACTTGGAGGAGCTGGGGCTAACCGGGATGGAGGGTCCCCCCTCGCCACGAGTCTGCTGTTGGCATAAATCTTCCAAGTGTGCAGAGTATTCCCGGAACAGCAGCGTGCATAGACCTGGCATTCTTTCAGATTCTCTTGTTTTCTTTCTGTTTCACAAGCTGTTTTTTTTTTTGGCCCCAGGGCATCTAAACAGTGATGGTGAAAATAGCTGTCTACCCATTGCACAGCCATCTAAATGAGGCTCTTTTTGTCTTCTTGTCACAAAAATACCCCCTATGGCATATATGCATCAAGAGTTAGAAAGATGATGCTGTTGGGCATTTCAGTAGTATGAACCAAGCTTAAAACAAGCATTGCATTTACTGATAATGGAGGAGACAGTATGGCTGGGAGGCAATGTAATTTCCTTAACCCTTATCACACTTGAAACACAGTTTCATAGTATAGGTTGTGCAAGTAGATTGGTGATTTCTTGTAGACTCAGTAACATATGGTCACCCTATGTAAAATCTAAAAAAGTAGTTTTCTTTCTTGTGGCGAAATAAAGGCTTCAGTATGTCAGGATTCAGTAACATTTGAAATATGTGCAAAACGGTTCGAGCCCTAACAGTGTGCATTTTCTCTATTCATACGGGTCCATGAGGGCCTGTTTCAAGACAGTCCTTGTATGACTTGTCCTTTCAAGACAGAGGGGAGTACAAACTTGCATAGTTATGCATTGGCTGGTGTTCACTAAAATAATAGATTAGAATGAAAAAAAGGTTTGGCTGGAGTAACTCAGGTGCACAAGACAGAAATTCATATCCCATCCCACTCTCTTTAATGTCAATTTCTGGAAAAGTGTCTACACAGCATCCATATGAAATCAAGATTTTTTAGTGATTTTCTTGAAAAAGAGGTGTCTTAGTAAGCTACACCTAGGGATCTGTGCTCTCACTTACTCTCTCCTTTTCCTAGGGAACAAGGATTCACAGTATACCGTTTTCCTTGCATAAATTGGCAGAAGTTTGTTTTTTTTTTTCTTTTAATCCATTAAGACACTATATTCCTAAAATGAATTTCCCACCAGAATACAGTGATGACCACTTCTATTTTATTCTCTTTTTATTATAAATTCTGACATTTTAATGTTCCAGGGGCTGATACAGTGAGTATCCCATATGATCTCTTTTCTCCCTATTATTCATAATGTAACCTCATGCAGAACAGCCACTGGAATCACAGAAGAGTTGGCTTTTCAAGAAAGACATAGTGGTTAGAAAATTATTTGCCTTTTTTTTCAAATTTACACCAAAATTGCCTCTGCTTTCCTCCCAAAGATGTAAATTTAACTAAACAGGTATCCTTCTTTTGCCTCACGTTGCTGACTCCATCAAGGAAAAATTTTGCATGGTCTCTCACACTGTGTGTCAGGGCTTGTATGAACAACTGGGTTCTGTTTTGCAGTGTGAGTACCTGCATGTCCTCCAAGGGATGTAAAATGTCATCTCTCTGCTTTGCCCCAGAAGAAAACTAAGTTTTATGAAGAAATCCATTGCTTTTGGATATAAAACCCCAATTTATCATCAAGTTAGCAAAGTAAGGACCATGTTTAACTGAGTGGTTTGCAGAGCAGTGTAGTGTCTCCCTTGAGGAAAAGCAAAGAGAAAGACCAGCATTCCTCAGGGTAAAGAAAACAGACATAGGTGCAAAATATGAGCTGTTTTTGAAATATTGGTGTAATTATCCTAGGTGAGTAGAATATTAAGTAAATAGAAAAAAAAATATTAGGCTAAAAGCCCTTGTGCAAGTCATGAAAAGAGCAAGAGTTGTGAAATAAGGATGTCAAGCATAAGGTTTGATTTAAGCCAGTTGGGACAGTGGGTGGACATGTGTCAGCTGTACAAGGAGGAAGGTACCATCCATCTGGAGTTCATTACTTCCCCTTTCTCAGCAGGCTGGGCAGTTCCTTTAGCAGCAAGTGTTACCTCTCATTTAGCTTCCAGTTTTGGGAACTAGGCAAACAGTAGGCATCATGTCTCGAATTGCAAAAGTCATTTAATAACTGTGGGAACAGGGAGGGAGGAGAATATGTGTGAGAGGAAAGAGGGATAGACTCCTTCTCAAGTTCTCCTCTGAATGTCATAGCCAGGCACTGTTGGATACAAACAAACAATGTTCCTTCAGCCAGTATCATTCACTTTCCATTTTCTTGTTAGCAAAATATTTGCACTGTGGTGATTGAAGGCACTGAAGGTTTGCTACATCGGGGTTGATGCACAGTTTAGTTGACCAGCTCTGCTTCAGTGGAAGAGCTTTGGGATCACTTGGTATACAAAAGGCCAGAGTTAGTCCCAAGTGTTGGGAGAGCTTTACCCCTGATCTTTGGATGTTTAGCCCCATTACATGAATAACACATGAGAACTTATGGAAGTGTTTGTACAATGGGGTTAGCAGCCAGTAATTCTGGGTTTTGTGATATACCTTTCCCAAGGTGTCAGTTATTCTCCTTGAATTCTTTAAAACTGAAGTTCTTAGTCTTGTGCACTTCTCTTGACTCTGTAGTGGCTCTGCTGTAGAATTTCTTCTTGCTTCTACAGTGTTAAGTTGCAGAACTAATTTAAAGAACAGTGCTCCCAGTTGGTTCACTTGAATGCACAAGCAAATACTGGAACAAATATCCAAGCATAGGATCTCCAAGAGCTTAAAGCATTCAGCATTAGAAATGCATCCTAAAGCAATGGGGAACAGCTCTTGGCTGACTAAGGAATTCAATTGGGAAGTTTGTTTGAAAAAAATGTAGATGTCTTGTTGATTTACCCATAGTCTAATTCAATCATAAACATCTTGACCAGGTGTCAAGATGAGAATTTATTTCATGTATCCAGCTTCCTTGAAACATATTTTTCTTCATTTTTCCATGATTTAGGTGTTTTATTTTTCTGCACCCTAAGAGTACATAACAGCCACTGCTTTTCCATGGCAACGCCTGTTTCCAGAATTTGTCATCTGGTGTTTCATGTTTTTCTCTCTCTCTGTTTCCCTCCCTCTTCACCCTTCTCCCCCCCCAGCAGCTCTAACATTGCTTATTCTGCATGCATTTTTACTTCAATATCTGAATTACATTTTCTTTATTGCACATCAGATATTTCAGTAGGTCTGTATTCCAAGCCTTCTGCAGTTAAGTTGGATGTATTCCTCCTTGGATGAAGAATAATACTGTTTCTGTCAGCTATTAATACTACAATCTTACAATTTTTGCTAGTGTGGTGTTAAAATTTGCTCGTGTGGTATTAAAATAATATTTAAATATTATTTTAATATTAATAAATTAAAATAATATTAAAATATTATTTTATTTTTTTGCTAGTGTGGTGTTAAAATTTGCTCGTGTGGTATTAAAATAATATTTAAATATTATTTTAATATTAATAAATTAAAATAATATTAAAATATTATTTTAAATTTTTTTTGACTGAAAATGTAAAACATCTGCTCTTTAAACAATATGAATCATACCAGCCATAATTAATTTAAATGACTAAGTAGCCAATAACTTTTTGTCTACAGTTTAGCAGCATTTACAGTTTAGCAGCTTTGCTTATTTTTTTCAACGGAAAAAACAGAAAATGGTACATTTCTATGCAAAAAAGAAGCATACACATTAAAAAGGCATACAAATAAGTGCTAAACAATGCTTTTTTTCAGTCCTTTTGCTCTTCCTCCTAAGTTTCTTCCTATTCCTATTTTACAAGTACTACGTCTTGCCTTTTTAAATGTGGTTTTGTTTTTCTTTTTAACTGATGCCCTAGAAACTGCTGTCATGAGGGTGATACAGGCCCTCAGTGTGGACATCATCCCAGGAGCAGAAAGATACTGGTAGCAGGAAGAGTATTCCCTTGAACTTAGGGGAACAAACTCTTACACCAAAGGCATTAGAAGATGATTAATTAGTTTCTGGCAGAGGATGTGGTTAGAGGCAGGAATTTCTGTAAGCTTAGATAGGCAGCCTTTGGCAGGGGAGACTTTCAAGTCCTCTAAATTGTCAAGTGTTGAAGAAACTTGGATCCCACATGGATGTGTAGTGGGCATTGCAGTTCCTAGGCTCCACAGTCTCTTTTCCTGGGGAGCTGTCATACCTATTAGTGATAGACCCAAGAATCAAAGAGTCGAGAGTCATCTTGTAGATTAAAATACCATGGAATTTAAAAATAAATAGGAAATGTACTAAAATTCTGACCAGGCAACAGCAACTCATCATCAGTAGAATCTATGTTCTCTAGGAGTCAAATGGGGTTGCGTTTGGCTCCAGATTGTAGGGTTTTATTTTGAAATAAACAAAGATCTCAGCGTCCTTTTGGTCCATTCTGTAAAATGAAAATATTATCTACATTTTCCCCGTAAATTTATTTTCTCATTGTAGGCATTGAAAAAATTTAAAAAGCCCAACGCAAGCAGAAAATTAGGAAATACTTAGCTTGATGTCAGTCAGTCATAGGCAAAGCAGGTAATTTGACCCCTCTGATTGTGAATACTCTACCTGCATTCCTGTAAGGCTGTTATACACCTCTTCACAAGTGATTGTACTGCTAGCATGATATTACATTACGGGACACTGAGGTCTGTGTTGTTCTGCCTGTGTGTTACCTGAGAAAGAATTAATTGTTTTATGAGAAATTACAAGGTGGGTGTGGTTATTCACTGGATTATGAGAAGGTATTTCAAAATCATGCTTTATAGTCAGGAAGAACAAGTGTCTCAATGCAAACCTAACATCTCTGTAGCAAGTGTGTTACCTGAGAAGGAATTAATTGTTTTATGACAAATTACAAGGTGGGTGCAGTTATTCACTGGATTATGAGAAGGTATTTCAAAATCATGCTTGATAGTCAGGAAGAACAAGTGTCTCAATGCAAACCTAACATCTCTGTAGCAAGTGTGTAAAATTGGTTTTAAGATATAACTTGTTTTGCCTTCACCTAAAGCTGAGGTGAAGTACTTAACTATGTTTTCTTAACTAGTTAAAGTACTTAACTATGTTTTCTTTTTTTTTAGATTGTGTTTGTGGAACAAACGGATCAGCTAGAGCAACTGGCCAAGACGTGGGGGTTCAAAACATCTGACATAAGACAACTGAGTAAACAGTATGTGTTTTGTTAAGATTAGCTACAGCAAATGCAGTTTACTCTTTGAGTGAGGTAAAGTGAGTCTTTGGAATGCATTTTGACAGGGAGCACATTAAACCTATACATTTAATGGCCAAAATTCCATTTTAGTGCAGTGAGAGCTCTTTACCCAAAGGTGCCTGTGTTTTGGATGCAACTCAGAGGATGGAGAGTCCATGTTCTTTTTGCATTCCTTGGTCTGGGATTGCAGATATGGCTGGATTGTGCTGGTTGATGTATGCTGCACAGAACAAAATGCCATTTTAAATTTTCAGTCATAATCACTTCCATACTCACAGAACTAAGTGCCATTCTTTCTTGAGATTACATTTTATATCCATTTTGTTAGCACTGAGCTGTGCCTAACATGTAAGTTTAGATGCACTAAATGTAGGTAACACTGACACTGCAGATATGAAACTTTTTTGCTTGGACTTTGACCCATTGCATAATAAAAATCAATACAATTAGAAGACTTAAACCCTCTAAACACAGAGCTTTTTATTTCTCACTATACTGCAGCTAGAGCATTTCTTTTTTCTTCATCCAGTGAAATCCTCCAACTTTATGGTGAAGTGAAAAATTTTGGACTATGCTTTGCATGTAGTAGTAGCAAGCTGTAAATGACTTGTGGCTTATAATTGAGAACTGCAACTACCCTCTAGTAATCAATTGTTAAAAAACTTTTATGCTTTTTTGAAAGGCTAATCATACAGTATATATGAGTAATCAGATATTTTCTTCACTTGAAATAGCCTGAGGAAAATGGAAGGTGCTGTGAATATGAATCAGACTGAAGAAGATTTTCAGCATTTATAGCCTGCAAGAAAACAGAAAGAAGAGGAGTTAAAAAGAGACAAAATTCAGTTCATTCAGTAGTCAGGGAGACGCGAATGGGAGTGAGAGAAATGTTATGCAGTAAGGAGTTTCAGCACAAAACAAAATAGCCATAGGAACTTTCTAGTAATTTTGATATATTCATTCCTGTTATTGCATGAACATTACATGACAACATACAGTTTTACAGTTACATTGTAAATATGCCTTTCCTGTCAAGATATTGAGCAGAGCTTTTTTCACCAGTGTCTGTGTCTGCATTTTTAGACACAGTGTCTGTTCTTCCATTAAGCTTTGAAATGAATTGATTTTATATATTTATATAAACATATAAATAATATAGAAGAAAACTAGAAAGTCACATATAAGAAGTCACATTTTGTAAATATAGTGGTCTGGAAGCTAGAGGCATTCCATATATCTTCATAGTAGGAAACAAGACTGTGTACAAATCTCTTTTTCAAATGGATTCTATAGTGGAGTAATTTTAGTCGTTGCGAAGTTGGTTCCCCTTTGTTTGTTGGTTGCCATTTAGGATGGGTCAATATGAGAAAATTAGATCAATCATGCTCTTATACTGTTTTCCTCACAGTTAGATATATGCATTTTGTAGTGTAAATTATATTACTCAACTGCTTCATACCAAAGTATGGGTATGGGTAGAGGTACAGCAGGCATTAATAGGCTGATGCTGGAAGAGACAGATTAATCTGTATTTGTCATTTATTCTGGTGGATTTTAATCAAGTATACTCTTTAAAACAAAACTAATTACTGTGGATAATTTTTAGGCATTTTGGATTATTGCAATTTTATTTTCTTTCCTTAGTGAATTCCTCATGCCAGGATTGGTTGATACACATATTCATGCTCCTCAGTATTCATTTACTGGTACAAGAGTAGACCTGCCTCTTTTGCAGTGGTTGACTGCCTACACGTTCCCAACAGAAGCCAAATACCAGGACAGTGGTTTTGCAGAAGAAGTGTACACCAGAGTTGTTGTAAGTCCTGCATCGACATTTGCCTACTTGACGATATTAATTTTGTGTAATATAGGCATGTTCTCAGAAGGTCAGCAGAAAGAGCAGAGAATGTTTTACTGTCATGGAAACCAGATAAAGCCAAGATAGCCACTGTTCTCATTGCTAGTCAAGATTTTCTGTTACTAGTTACAGTCTTGTTCTGTTGCTGCTGGCAATAGAATTGATTTAATCATAAGGTTAACAGTGAACTGTTTATCACCTTTTCTGAATATAATGACCAACTACTAATCTACAACAACTAATCTACTCTCAGAATTAGTACAGCCAGTGGGTGCAGACAACCTCAATGCAGCAATAACCAAGCATAGTGAAAAAACATCAGGATATATTTCCTTTCTTGCACAAAAATCCTCTTTTATAAACTCACAATCGGCAAAAACCACATGAAAGAGAAGGTACTTATGATAGATGACAAATCTGACATGTTCTGGTGTAGTAAAGGAAGAGATTGCTCCTGACGTCTTTATAGTGAGACAGTCTATCACTGCAGGGTCTTTAGAAGGAGTCTCTCAGTGGTATTATGGGTCAAAGAAAGACTGCGTTTGAGCTAGATGGTTCTGGGCATTATAAAGTCTTTAAGATCCACTGGATGGGCAACAGGCAGCTAGGTCATATTGCAGAGTAGTAGTTCTGTCCCATAACAAATTTAGCCTTTAATATGTGGACTGAAATATCTTCAATAGAATTAATTATTTGGCCTGTGCAATTTGCCTTGCATTTGTCTATTACCCTGACAGCATCTGTTGTCAACATAATAACATAACAAATCTGAAATAAATAGTTATGCTGTTCCTTGCCACACAAATTTTAAAAGAAATTACTTTCTGCCATCTGCCATGATAAAAGCATGCAGGAGCAGCTTGGTCTTAAGCTTTAGTGACAAGCACACATGCCTTCAAGTGCTTAAAACATAGAGATGAGCTCACGTTTGAGGTGTGTGCCCAACACACTGTTACAGTGCAGGCTGCATGACCCCAGCACATCTAGGGGGCTCACCCTGCAAGGTGTGTCACAGCATCATCTGGAAAAGAGCTGCCAGAGAGAGGTGGAAGTTAGTTGTCAGAGCCTGGACACCCCAGTTAGGCTCTCCCCACGTGAACCAAATAGAACAAGGTCAAGAAAATGTCTTCACCCACAAAAGATACAGAATACCAGTCACTCTGCAGTGTTTGATGGGGCCAATTATAACCTTCATCTGTTAGAAACAGAACTAAACTTTCATGGAGCAGTTATTTTTTTTATAAGTATCATTGTGCTTATGATGTTGTAATGAAAAAACAGTGGATTTTTTCAAATCAAAATCCTTTTTCCAGCAAACACCTTCTATACTCAGCAAAAGAAACAATTTAGTTGAAATTTTCCTGCTTTTAGCTGGAACCTCCTCTTCATGCTAATGATTTGGAAACAGGATGTTTTTAGATTTATTTTAACAATGTTGTTAGGATTTCAGAAGTAGAGAATTCTGAATTTTAAAAGCTAGGAAAGACAAAGTAACTTGTCTCTGTAACGACATTGCTATTTTTGAGACTTTTTTTTGAACTTTAAAAAATTTTCGTTTGAGTATCATAAGGAAAAAACAGACCTTGGCTTCATGTTTGTCAAATAATTAACTCTAGCCTTCCTCCAAACATCGTGTGGGATGTCCCACCTTTTATCTCATTAAAAAAAAATAAAAATCTCAAATAACTAGACAACCAGAACCCAAAAATATAGTTAAGGCCTGTACGTTGGAGAAGTAGTCAACATAGTTTGCATCCCAAGGACAAGAGAAGCTACAAATTTCATCATGAATTAATGTAACTAAAATACCTGGTAATTTACTATTAGGTTCCCCAAAAGTAATGTGGGGGTTTCCTTTCAAATGGTATGCTAGAGAAATAATTAGCTCACAGTCTGAGCAGTTTTGCTCAGTTTCCTTTTACAGTTAAGTTTGATATTTGGTATTTGGGGACAACAAATGTTTTTGTTACATGAAAACATGACTTGTTTTTCCAGCTAGATCGGGTTGCTAAAAGAAAACCACCATGTTCCCCAAAAGCCTTGCTTTGCTAACACTGGAAAAACAGTACTTCACCATGAAAATTGGAGAACATTTCATAACTAGGAAGTAACAAAAAATTACTAGTTGTTTGTATTTCTAAATATAAGTTGGAGCATTTCAGTTTGGGGAAAGGAATAGAGACTGGTTTCTATGGGTTTAGCCACTGCAAAAATTTTGTGAGGGGTTTTTTGTATTTATTAACTCTCAGACTTAAAAAAGCTTTTATGAAATTAAAAATCTATATTTTTATCTTCCCACTTCACTGCAAAATTTCACAATAACTAAATGTTCTTGCAGTTTAAAATGAGACTTCCTGTTCTGCATTTTGCCAGCTTTACTGTTCTTTTTCCCAGACAGTTGAAAGTGATTTCTTTTTTTAGAGACGAACACTAAAGAATGGTACGACTACAGCTTGCTACTTTGCAACAATTCACACAGATAGTGCCCTTCTTCTTGCTGAAATTATAGGTAAGTCTAACAGTGAATTTTGAAGGATTGTGTGGATCGTTAGTTGAAGGAAACAATGTTAGGAGTTTAGGCTAGCTAGGGATCTGTGTTTCTCCTAATTTGTTTTTTATTCATTGTACCTGTCACACTGTGTCACCAAACCCCACCTGTTACCCATTTTCACTTAATAGCTCTATCCTATGGTTGCTACTCCTTCTGTCCTCATTCTCAAATCTACTGCTGGTTGAGCTTGAATTAGGTCTGCTGGACTTGTTCTTCAGCTTCAGCTCTCTGCTTTTTCTAACCTTTTGTTTTTTGAGGTTTCAAAGAACTGAATGACAGGACGACCAGTCAGTGCATTAATTTCCTGATACACTGAGATTTCATCTGATAATCAATATAAAAACCTTCACACACCCTCTGAAATCAGAGAAGTGGAAGCTGTATCAGAATCTTATCCTTCCCTTCTGTTCATAGCTGCAAATGCCTGCTGTTTGAAATTATTGTTATTCTTGCAGGATTTCTCAAGGCTCAGACAGCTCATAATGCAGAGAAATTTAATAGGAACCTCAAATTTCATAAAAATTGGCTAAATCATTCTGATTTATTAGGAAAATTTTGAAGCCATTACATTAAACAACTCACATAGTAAAGTAGTCAAAGAGATCTGAATTAAAAACACAAATATCCCTAGAATTGGATATTATACACGTTTTACACATGAATCCTGATTTATTAATCTAGCATGGATAAATCTCAAGAAAGAGGCTAAAATAGTTCTGGAAATTTCTCCCTCTAACTGCATGTGGGGAGGTCTGTGAGCAATCTTTGCCTGTTAGCAAAAGGAGAGATGGTTTGCTGAGATCTTTATGCCTTCTCTCATCTTCAGGTAGCCATCTACTACAGCTACTGTACTTTGATGAATGTTTCTCATCCTTTGTGTCACAGCTGTCTTCATAGACTACCATTAAGAATTCTCGTTGTGGTTAAACTATAGTAATCTAGTTCTTATTTATAAAGTTGAGCATTACTGTGGAAGACAGCTCCTATTTAATGTTGTTTGTTTCTTTATTTCGTCTTTCCTTTTTATCCTTAAAAGTCACATGAATGATCGTAACTTAGAGACAAGACAGAAGCATAAATTCTGGTCATTCTAAATGGAGCTGGGTGGGGTGGACTTCATTCTTTTTATTTCAGTACAAGCTTTGGTAATTGTTACTGAGAACCAGTGATTTTGAGATTTATATTCTAATGCATCTCAACAGATAAATTTGGTCAACGAGGATTTGTTGGGAAAGTCTGCATGGATGTGAATGACAGTGTGCCACAATACAGAGAGACTACTGCTGACTCTGTCCAAGAGACAGAAAGGTAAAATGATAAAATTGATGGCATAGCCTTTTAAAATAAGATTTTTCATACATCTGGAAAGTGAATGTGAATCTATCTAAGAGCTTACAGGTATGCATTTATTAGCAACAGGTTTTTTTCTTCCAACAGTTCTGTCCCCTACAGTCCTGGCAATTCCTTCAAATCCTGGAAATTCCTGCAAAAGTTGCTGCACAGCCCGAGTAGCATCTCTCTGGCTTTTCCAAAGAGAGGGAGAAACCACAGATCTAGGGTTTGAGAGGATATGTGTGTTTTCTGCTGCCTCTTTTCCCTTTCACAGCTGTGTGGAGGTCATGGGACCTGACATACAGTGGTGAGGTGGCAGCCAGTTCCTTTGTCCCCATTAACTTCTAAGTTATTTCCTTCCACCATTTAGGCTAAGGCTTTATTCAAGCTGTAGAACTCAGCTTTCTTATACTCCATTTTAAGCATCTCTTCTCCATCACAGCACCAGTCAAAATACCCCAACATGCAGCTGAAAGAACGAAGGAGAATCAAATGAAGGCAATGTTTGTAGCAGAGGAGAGCCAAGACTGGATTATGGCAGCTTACTCTCATCATGTTTCTCTTGTGTTTCACACCCATGCTCAGAAAACAGTTAAGCAGACTGTTCTCATGGGACTATCTATTTACTTACCTAAATGTTTCAGATATCATGCTGAAAGAGACAACCCCGAAGAGTAATATAAATATCTTTTGGCACTTGTGTGAGGTTGATACCTTGTTTTTACAAATCAGGCTAAAGGTGTGGCAATAAAAGTTAGAAATGGTCATGTATTTCTAATGGTGTTTATATTTAAAGAAATTTATAAAACATGCTGTATTAGTTAACCTTCACTCTTCTAACATTTGTTTCCCTCTGTGTAATTCCCCAGCTTCCATATTAAGGTGCAAGTCCTGCCAAATGGGCCTGAAAGAAGCAGAGCTTCCAGTTCTGATGGTTTTGAAAGCTTCAGAAGGATCTAAATAGCCTTATTTTAAATCTTGTGCCTCCAACTCATTCCTTTTTGATTGTGTAATAAGAAATATTTCTCAACTTTGGATGAGAGGTTGACACAAGTACTGTCTAGATGTCTAGGGAATAAGGCTGTGAACTTGGCATGAATCTGGAGTACTTAACTGAATCACAGCAATACAATTGCTGTTTCATGAAGAGGGTAACACGTTATTTGGGTTTTTGTTGCTTAAAAAACCAAAATGTTCTGTTGGTTTTTTAAGAATCTAAGAAATGTGATCTGTCACACTGTCAGAAAATGGACTACACTCATTTCAGTTACTTAGAACTAACATTCAGAAATATTTATATTGTAGGCATGGGAATAAGATACAGTTCCAAGTACTTCATATATTACATTTAAATTTGTCAAGAATTTGAATCTATCATTCTTTGTCAAAGAGGATTTGATAAAAAGTTAGGGAATTGAACTCTAGATTACCATTTATGGTACTATTAGTTATAGTCAGGTGCAAAGATGAGAACATATGTTCAAGTCTGTTCTGCCTCAGAAGACAGTGATTTGTAGTCGAGTCTCTTTCCTCATAGAGAAGTGAGTCGGCTATATTTGCAAACCATATTTCATCACATTTCATCAGTTTTGAAACAGCTCATGCAGTTCAAAGAATGTGAAAAAGAATGAAAACAACCACACTGAGATTTTGTCTTGTTAGCTGGGCATTGCATTTCTGTTAAAGCTTCTGCTCAAGTGCATATTTTATTATATCAGGTTAATTGGTAAGAGAGAAACAGGCAGATGATAGCTAATTCACTTGGCATTTTAGCTCTCCATGTTAGACAGTGGTGAGCTCAAACTCCTTTGGTCATTGCATAAGTTGAACTCAGGTTTCTCCTTTCCATTTGGTGATCTAGTGTGACCTTCAGAACTGTGAGTGTAGCCTCTAGCATAATTTCTTTTCCCTCTGAAGACATTTGAAAAAATTGATACAACATGTGTTGTGATCAAAATCATACAGTTCTCTTACTATGAACTATGACATAAAAATTCACAGAGATCCTGTCCAGAAGGCAACTCAAACTGTAATTCACATGTCACTTACATACACTGAACAAATGGGCTTTCAAAGAATTCCCTCCTTCCAAAGTGGGAGGAAGTTTACTTTGCTCATCTGCATTATTTGTAGTGACTGCTTGGGGTTTTTTGTAGAGGTCTGAAGTAGCATTTTAGTTAACAGAGAAAGTTAACATTTATTTTCCGGAAGGTAGATTGTCTATATGCTAACATTAATATAAGCATTTCAAAAAAATCAAGGGTTCTTTAAGTGAATGAGGACATATGCAACTACTGTACGATAAAAAATATTGCTGTATCTTTTAAAATTTGGATTTGAAAAGGTTTAAACACTGCAACTTGAATTCATGGACTGACAAATTTAAGTTTGGTTTGTTTTTTCTTCAATATTGCAGCTGTAGGTTATAATTAAGTTTGCAATTCATTTAATGTAGCATGTGTTTGGTTTTTAGGGATAATTCAGAATAATTACTGCTTGTCTTATGCTAAGTATTGCAATGAAAAAACAATAGTCTGCATGTTCAGAGTCAAATTCAAAACTAGCATAATTTGGTGTCACTATGCTGACTTCATTTTGTTCCCTTTTTTTATTTCATCTGAAAATCTGGCTCAATATTTTGTGAAAAAATTGATCTGTGTGAAATATTTAATAGGGTATCCAGTATATATTTTTTATATTTTTCAGAATTTATAACATAGAGAACAGATTTATAGCAACTTTATTCCTACCCTTTTTCAGGTTTGTTAGAGAACTACTGGAAAAGAAAGTAAGTAGTGTTCTTTATTGAATTCACTTCTGTATTCAGAAGATGCTGCTTGAGCACATGAAAAATTAATCCTGCTATCCAAATCTGTTGTCTTAGTGACAAATCAATAAATATACATATTTGTCTGTAATAGACAGATATCATCACTCTGGAAAATGTTCTTCTAGTCATGTTGAGAAATGTGCTTGTAACAGTGTAAACTGTGCTGAGAGCAGAGCAATGTTCTGTGTTTCTCTACTGAAAAACTTGGTGAATTCATCCTGGAGTTGTTCTGTACAGCTCACCGTGGCTGCTGATGTTCTGAAAGAGCTAGCAAAAGACTCCAGTGGCTAGCATCAGACTGATTGAAGGAATTCTCACCAGCAGAAATCATTATTTTTTTCAGTAAAGTCACTAATCCACTATAAAATTAGTGGTTTGGTTGCATGTCTTAAAGTGTGTTTCTAAAGATATTCATGCTTACACTCCTGTGGTGAAGATAGAAGTTTACACTCCAAAATTATACACAGTTGTACTTTTCTTATCAGCCTTTGGTTTTCGGTGGCTTCTTTTGACATCCCTCCTCAAAATATTCAAGAGCAGTTGCCTGGAGTTTAATGCCTAAACCATATGTATCACTAGAGTAATGCCTAAACTATGTATGACAAGAGTGAGCTGGCTAATTTGCAAAGACCTGAGTTCCTTTTTTTCTGGGAGATAATACAAGGAAATACAGTCCAAGTTATCGCTTACTGGCTTGTGCTAAATGCTTGCCTCTGACTGGTGACAGAATTGTAATCCTGCTGACTATTTTTTAGGAAAATTTTGTTCTAGAGACTCAAAGTGTAAACCTCTGTAGTTCTTAGTTTCTTCTTCACTGTTTCCTACACTATATCATGTCTGATTATACAACTATTTTTCCTATCTAAGGACTTTAGGGGTTTGTCACTGATATGAGTAAAAAGATTGAACAAGAAAATGGCTTTGGTTTTATAGAAGCTTGCAGTTTTGCTTCATTATATCTTCAATGGTCACAGAATTGTGGCTGAAAAAGATCTGGTCGTTCAACTGACTTATTTCTCATTATGCATTTAGACTGTCGGCAAATAGGAAAAAGTATCCAGTGCTACTGAAGACTGGTAAAGTTACAGTAACTTGATGAAAGTTCTAAAAAAACCAATTGCTTTAATAAATTTCATTAAAATTGTTGTAAGAAACCCCCATTTTCCTTCTCTGTCTCTGCAATGAGATGTCTAATGAAAGCAAGGAAATGACTATACAGCTTAATTTGAATTGGCAAGGATGCCGTAAGCAATGCAGACAAAATGTAATTGCCATGTAAATGCTAACCTTAATTATGTTTACTGAAATTGCTATGTAAATGCTAGCCTTAGTTATGGTTATTGAAATATATATGTAGAATGCAAACCCCATCTTCTATTTTCAGTATCCCAGAGTACAGCCTATAGTAACCCCCCGCTTTGGCCCCTCCTGCTCAGAGGACTTGCTGAATGCCCTCGGGGATTTAGCATTAACCCACGATCTCCACGTGCAGGTAAGCTCTGAGAGCTCTGTGTGCCATTTTAGTGGTTTGGACGGACAGCATGATGAACATTTAAAGATACCTTTGGGAGGAGATACATGTCTGCTGCTCTGATCTCAGCATCCATCCTGTTGTAGTCTTGTTCTCTCTTTCACCTCACAATAGCAGTGTGTATTATTTTATCTATTATTTTAACATCTTCCCAAAACTGGAAGTGGGGCCATTGTGTCACCACATTACTGGGATGGATATATGCATTACCTCATATCACTTTGTTTTTTTAAGGAACAAATGAAGCTACTTCTTTAGGTCCTATGAAAGCATCTTCAGGTCTGATGAAAAAAAGAGATACAGGGACTAGATTGAACTATAGGGTTTACTAGCATTATTTTTATGAATATTTATTTAGGACTAGTGGATTGCTCAGAAAGTTATAATGGCAGTTTCAATGTTGTTTAAAGGACTCACTCTATGCTTTTTCTTGTTGCAGAGTCACATAAGTGAGACTGAGGAAGAAATCAAAGTTGTGGAGAACATGTTTCCTGCCTACCAGAATTACACTGAACTGTATGATAAAAACAAGCTGCTAAACAGCAAGGTAACCACATAAAAACTTTCCAAATATAACTTACATTACTCCATGTAGCGATTGTGATGCTTTGTATTGTTCTGTCATTGTCAGTGACATCTGGAGAAAAGTAAATTTGTTTTATGTCCTATGTTGAGGAGTTGGATCTTTAAACAAGGCCACACTGTTCCTAAGTATTTTAGAGGAGGTGAAAAATAAACATATTTTATGCTCCCTGATTCATTTTCTAAAGGCTCCAAAGAGAATTAGGACTAGAAGGAACCTAGATAAAGTTGGTATTGTAGGAACTGGTAATTCTTGGACAGTACTTAGTTATCCTTATATTCCAAGGATGTTATCCAGTTTTGCAGTTTGCCTGAAGACTTCTTCTGTGGCGTTACGTTAGGACCAGCTTCATTTTCTTCCTATGGAGAAGAAGCACTTCAGAAGCTGAATTCTAAACATCAACCTTGCTTGCAGGCAGGTGCACTTTACTGCTCTGACTATCCAGAAGCACTGTTACCTCATTTACCAGCTTATTTTACCAAGCTTTGAGAGGCACACCAGCCCAAAGAACTGAAATTCATTACAGCTTTATGCTGTTGAGATAAATGTAATATACCTGCCCACAGTAATTACAGGATGGAGACCCAGGGCACACCTAATTAGACAGTGGGTTGTTCATATGCAAAAGTGAATATGAACAACCCAACTACTGTCGGAGTCATCAGTCAAGTTCATTTAAAAATTTGTGAGAGAATTTTCAGATACACAAGGGCAGCTGAAGAATTAGCTGTTGAGCTCCCATTTCTGTGTTTGAAATTTTATCCCAGTAAATTACTCATTGTTTACTGTCCTTTTTGCTGAGAAACCAATATGGACTACAGAAGTATGTACACAGAATTACCCTTTGTTTTCTTACATGGTCCTTTGCATGCTGATTTGGTGTGCAAGTGTTCTAAAGAGCATATTTGTGCTGCAAAAGCACAGGTCTTAATTCTGTGACTTGTAAGCACACAGGTGGAAATGGTAATGAAAAATCATGATTACTGGAGTCTTCTGGATATATGGGAAAGGATTCTATTAAATGCAAGCATAGCATCAGAACCTCAGATATTGTCTCCCCATCAACTCAAATTAAGACACCAAATCAATTTTTTTTAAAGTGTTTTAAAAGCAGGGATTTTTTTTGAGCTATTGCCGAAATGTTTATTTCCTTTTAAAAGCAGTACAGATTGGCAGGGATATGCTTCAGTAGCTACCATATGTAGATCCTTATCTGAAGATGTGGCTATTCTCCTTGTGTTTTCATCTACACTGAGCTTGATGAGTAGAGATGGGAGGGGTACAGTGCCATTAGGAGATGCTCAGTGGAAGCAGTCTCTGTGCCATACTCAATTTTATGTGCAGATTGCAAGATCTAACAGACCTCTTGCTCCTTTCTTTCAGTGGGCATTTGGTATATGAGGTAACACCAATTAGATTTGTATGAGAATAATTGGTTTATCCACTATTAAATTATCCTATCATATACTTCTATGTTTTTCTTGTGAACTTATTTTTAAAGTCAGTTAGGTCAGATAAAAAGTAAAAGTAATTTATCAGTTGCATAAAAAAATTAGATTATATTTTACATAAAGAATATTTAATCTCTCTTTCCCTAGTGCAAACCTTTAGATAGCTAATAGGAAACCTGCTAAGAGTACGTACATCTTCCATTTTATCTGATGTATTCCTAGCTCCAGTACTTAATCTCTGTGTTAACTACAAAATATAAATTATAAGCTTACTACAGTGCTAGGACAACTGGGAAGTTCTCACTTTTGTCTTTGGTCACAGGAGTCACTGCAATCACTGCAAATACCCTGTATTCCTCTATTTTAAAAATGCAAAAAAGCTGAAGGAATGATATGTCATGCACACTGATATTAATCAGTTTTTCCCTTGTGGGTTTTAAGAGCTTAATACAGCAAGTGCATTAATTTCCTTAAATGGTAAAGTGTCCTTTTTGGCTATTTAAAGTAGTGCATCAAACCCCACAGCCACAAAAGTAAATTAAATGTTGAGTAAATTGTGATTCTCTTTTTCTTTAGACTGTGATGGCACATGGCTGTCATCTTTCTGAAGAAGAGCTGAAACTTTTTAGTCTTCGTGGAGCTGCAATTTCACATTGCCCCAATTCTAACTTTTCGTAAGTTAAAAAAAAAAAAAGGATAATTCAATAAAGCGTATAATTAAATAAAGGTGTGGTTTATGTAGTATCCTGAGTTGATGCTACCATTGCAAAGCTATGCTATAGTCATTACACCATAAATGACATATTGGATTGAACTTGACCATTTATTATCCACTTCTGCCTAGCATGCTCTGAACCATTTTGTGGTCTTTCAGTTTAGTTATTGCATCTATATCCGTATCTATATAAATATTTATTTTCTAAAAATTTATTTATTTTGACTGTTCTGTCAGTGGCATCTCCCTTCTCCCTGAAGTCTGATAATGTTTGGGGGAAATGGACTATAAAGTCTTCTTTCTATTGAGCAGACATGAGATACTGCATGGTATACAGACAGAATAAGTAATAAACCAATCTTGTACACATTAAGGGAGAGTCTTTGTCATAAAATGGCTCTGCAGCCCTGCTTTTCCTGAACTTTTTCTGCATGTAGCACACAGAATGTGTTTCTTCTTCCAATCCAGGATGCGCAGCGGTGTCTTAAATGTGCAAAAGGTTCTCAAACACAATGTGAAGCTTGGTCTTGGCACAGGTTAGTAGTTTGCTCTGAAAGTGATTTCTTCTGGAAACCTTTGGCAGATACATTCACCTGTTCATATTTAAAAATCACCATGTCTCCAACTTTTAATCTCCTTTGTTTTCTCCACCTAAGGAGTAAGGAAGCCTAGTCTATTAAAATCTAGCGTTGGTCCAAAACTGTTTTAAAACAAATTTAAGTACTAGTGAAGAGTTTTTGTTGCTGTTGTGGCCTTAAACAGGGCTTGAACATCAACTTTTCAGGTTTCTGTTTTTGTGTTGTGTTCTATTCACCTGACTCTGTGTGAGAGCACCTTTATTGGGATTTATGCCTTCAGAGACAGTGCTTAGCTGTTGAGCTTGTTGGGTTTACCATGTATGTTGCTTCATAACTTTGAATTAAAACTTAAAGAAATTTAACATAGAGAATTATACCCAAAGCTTATACTCTAAGGCTCTGATCCCTTCTAGATGTTGCAGGTGGATATTCAGCTTCTATGCTTGATGCTATAAGGAAAACAATGGTGGCATCTAATAGCCTTCAGATCAATAAAGTGAATGAGACAGGACTAACTATCGAAGAAGCCTTTCGGCTAGCCACTCTGGGAGGAAGCCAAGGTAAGAAGAAAATTATTTACTGTGCACACAGAGAGCAGTAAATATAATCAAATCCCTTTGATTATATTTCTCCCTATCTTCATGGGAGAGTCATGGATTTTTTGGTGCCAGAGTGAAATCTAAGTGATAGGCAGGGGTAATCCTTCAGTTTCTCATACTCATACTAGGCTTTTCAGAGAAGAATACTCTATTAATGCTGAGAGTTTAATAACAAAATCTTAATTGTTTTCAGAGTTGTACATTTGCTTTGCAAAGATCCTCAGACTTCTTAGTCATAAGGCTGTAAATGCTTGTCTATTTATTGTACCAGCTGGAAATTTGTTTTCTCAGCAACCATCATCTAGAAGAAAAACTGCAATTACTGTAAAATCATGCATTCTATTTGTCATCAGTTTCTAATTTTGCTTGTGCTTTTTGAGCTGTCAGTGAGGCAGTTTGTTGCAAATCAAAACATCATGCAAATCACTTCTCACTCAAGGAAAAGCAGAAACGCAGGCTTTCCACTATGGTTTTTCAAAACACAGTTGCATTTGGAGAATGCAATAATATAGTATATGGGCTAGCCAGTTTTGGAGAACCAGTTTTACTTTAAGCAGTGTGCACATAAAAACAGATACAATTTAAAAAATTTTAGCGGTACTGTAGAAGTGTGCCCCCTGTTGATGGAGTAAACAAGTTACCCTTTGTCCCCTTAAAAAGTAAAAAATCCCAGAAATTTCTCTCCTTAATTTGGTTAAAAGACACCTCATAGGACCTTGGAGATTTCACCTCAAACTTAAAGATAGCCAGTTGGACAGAAGTCAAAAAGTCCCGCCTAAGCAATTCCCTAGAAAAGGAAGAGAACAAAAGAAGTATGGCTTTTGTGAAATGTTTTACGAGAGCAAGAACCTCTTGCCCTGACTCAGTTTTTCTCAGTAAAGAGTTTTTTTATTTTGCCTTTTATTAAAACTTTTTTGTTTCCAACACTGTCACAAGAGTCATCCTGCTTATTTTATGCCACCTGAGGTAGCTGAGCGATCTAGGGTATAATACTTATCTCTGAGAGTTTATGAGACTCAGCTTGAAGAGACCAAGTATTATGGAACTGGTATGATTTGGCAGAGAGGAAATCCACGTGTAAGTGAAAACCTATTATTGTTTCAGTTAGCAGAAATGAGCTCACTACCTTCTAAAGCATGGGTCCCAAATCTTCTCAGTGTAACCTATCTGTAGCTGCTGAAAAGCTCCATTGGATATTATTCATGGAAGCTTAAAAGATGTAGAGAAAATGTCATAAATTATGCCTTCTCAGAACTGTGTTTGAATTCCTCGAGAGTGTAATGGGGGAAATAGAAAAGATGAGCAGGGAACAAATAGTATTCTTTTTCCTGCAATATATATTTTTCCACAAAGTGTGAGAATAAATTAGCTGAGACATAGAAAGGAAGACTTATAAAAATCCCAAACTCATATGTGGTTTCCTTTCCCAGCTACTCTTGTACTTTTTCTATATTAGATTTCCTTAGTAAAGTGTTAATTTTTTATATGGATTTTAAACTGTTTTATCCTTACTGAATCACTTTTAAGGGTAGAATATAAATCACTTCGACAAGCTTCCAGTAGCCTGGATACTGAAAGGGAAAATTTCAGTAGCAGAAATTTAAATGAGTGATTTCTTTTTATACAGTTTTCTTTGTTAAGGGTCCTAAACACTTATCACCCTCTTGTGTTTAATCTAAAAATTGCATTATGATCAAAAACCTGAAGGAACATGAGATCATTTTAGTTGAAACTAGTAGATAATCAAAATATTTCAGAATTTATAGGAATTTAAATGTCTTTAAGATATTGTGATTTTCTTCCACTCACAAACTTCAATGACTTCTTAAACTTCAAGACTGAATTTTCTTTATCAGTGCAATTTGAAAAGAAATAAATTATTTGCAGGTATTATGCTCTTTGATGACTTAATTTCAGAGTATTGGGAAAAAAATTAATTCGCAGATACTTTCCATAGCTTAGAATGGTCCTAATTTATTCTAAAGGGGAAAAATGGTTTCTCTTTAGGTATTCTAAGAACTTGCAAGCATCCAGTCCCTGAAGATGAATTTGTAGGTTTTCAGGGCATGCAGTTTCATGCACAATGAAACTTTTAAAAAATAGAGCTAAATAATAGACCACAAGGCAAGCCATACAGGTAGGTATGAGACCTTCAGACTGGCTATGATTATTTTTCCACACCATATTATTCTTTGTTCCTGCTTATTACTCACTGGATACCTCTTTTATTATCATATTACTATATTACTATTGCAATATGTCTATATAACCTTTCAAAATTGCTTAAACTTTTTTTAAAAATTCAGTCTAATACTGCCTTAGCAAGGTGAGTGTTATTATATGCTTTACTGTTTCTCTGACTTAACTTCATTGCCCCGTTTGGAGTTAGAATTTTTTTGGAATATAACCTATTGCTTCATAAGCCTCTTAAGAGCTCAGGTGCTAACATACTATTCAATTTGGTTTTGGTTTTTCTATTTGTTTTTGGTTTTGGGTCTAAATTTTTGTTTGTCTTATGAATATTTCAAGTAAGTTGTCAGGTACTTCTACGTGGTGGAAGGAGGCTGGTCCTGAAGACGAGTTTATGAGTTTATTTTCTTCCTCAGCTCTAGGACTGGATAATGTGATTGGAAACTTTGAGGTGGGAAAAGAATTTGATGCACTGCTAATCAACACGAAGGCTTCAGATAGCCCTTTTGACTTGTTCTCTGCTGACGAATTTGAGGTAATGAGGACAGGATTGATGATCAAAACATTAATGGAAGTGATGTGGGGAAGGCTGATGATACAGACAGAAAAGGTCTGCTAAGAGTCATTCTGGTGACAGGAATTGGGTGTACAAACACCTCTGCTGTCTTTGCTTCAGCCTAGGTGTTCCATGTTTTCTTTTCTTCAGAATCTTGCTGACCCCAGTGACAGTGCCATAACACCATGAGCAAAAATGCATGTAATATTTTAATGCATATTTTATTAGCCCAAGGTGACAATTACAGATATGTATTTGCAGTGACAAATGGCAACCAAGAATAAACAATTTAATTTTAGTCAATACTTAGAGTTCAGACTGAAAAATGACAGCCTGTTCCCAGAGAAAGGTTAGGTTGCCTTTTCTACATTGCTGTTACAAAATGAAGCAAGCACTCAAGATGGCTAATTTGAGTAAAAGCACAGTTTTTATATTAACATTAAAGCAGTGTTGGTTTTATGGTATGGAAACACCTTCTCATTCAAAAACCTTCTCTGACTAAAAAAGATAGTTGAGAGCAGTTACTTGAATTTTTAGATGTGGTCAGACTGCCTGGAAACAATTCCAGTTCTGTAAAAAGAATAATTTTTAAGTTTAAATCTAAACTTTTTAAGCTAAGTTATTGATCCTTAGCACTTTACACAAGTTTAAATTTTGCCTTGTTTTCAAAAAGTAAATTATGTATGTTAAGTTTTGATTTCAATGTTATTAGGAATATTTAGAAGTGTTTTTATCAGTTCTTTCAAGCTTCAAATGATTATGATCTGGGACAGCAGATATTGCTTTCTGAATTTGTTTTCTCCCATTTTTTAAAGGACACTCTCCAGAAGTTCCTGTATCTAGGTATGTTTTGATTTTCAGCTCAAGTTGAATTCTCATTTGCTACATCAAATGTCTAAATTAATGTTGGGGTTAATAATAAATTTATTTTTACATAAGTAAGTATACATTTGTTTGCAGTAATTAAATATGTTCATTTGAATCTTATATGAGCATTAACATGTCCCAATAAATAGCATTAATATTTGACATTAATAAATATAAACTGGTTTGTAATTGTTTGTAAGTGTGTCCAGGCAGTGTCCGGACTGGAGCTGCGCTGCTGCTGTGTTGTGACGTTGAGGTGCCTGGTGCCAGCTATGGCCACGGCTCTGTCATGCTCTAATGAGATTTTGCCTTTCTGAGGAGCTGTCTGGGTCACAACAGCTTTCTTGATGGCTGGTTCCCAAGCCAGTTCACATACTGTGCATCAAATAATTTTCTGTACAGATACATAATATTTTTGGGGTTTGGATCTACTGAATATACAGAAAATCTATGACACTATTGCAGCAGCTGAATGCTATGTTTTTGTTTTTGTTTTTTTTTAAACACATGGGTTGCTAAAATAGGTAATTTTTAATAGTTAAATTTTGTGGTAGCTTTGACTATTTCTCTCCAAATGGACTTTCTAAGTTCTAGGAAAATGGTTGGTCCAAGAAATGTGTTCCAAAACTGTTTTTATAGACTGCATAATTGTCATTAATTAAATCAGTGTTTGTATTTATATGCAAATCTCAATTTTGACCATGTTATTTCAGGTGATGATCGGAATATTTCTGAAGTGTATGTGGCTGGAAAGCAAGTGGTTCCTTTTTCAAGCTCTGTATAAATCCATTTCTGTTTGCAAAATACTCTGCTGATCATTCTGCATCTAATTTGGAAAAGATTATTTAAACACAGTGCCTGATCATCAGGAATGACACCTCACTTTTGGATAATGTTAAAAACTTGCATAAATTGAAAATTTTGTTAGACCTTTCAAGAATTACTGAGAATTACTACTGAAATTTTCACAGTTCTAGAGGGAATGGCTATATAAATTTCTTTGTAAAAATAGCATTTGTGCATTGATAGGGGATTTGGTAAATACCTTGCTTAAAGAAGGCACCTGCTGCTCTGTTTAATAATAGTATAGGAAGCATTATGTGGAAGAATGAGATGCTGGTTTTCTATAGGAATTTTAAAAAATCTAGTGCTTGTAAATTGATTTTGCAGGTAATGAATATCATGGAAGAATGCAATTTCCATAATATTATTATCAAGTATGGAAAAAATCAGTGTCTTTTTGGAGAATGTAGTTTTCGGTTTTTCCTATGAAGTTTAAAAAAAAAATTACAACATTTTTTTAAGATGAGTTAAGTCAGAAGTGTGTGTTTATAAATAAATAAGGGTCCTCACTTAAGAGTTTAGAATTGTCATTTGTAGTCAGACACACTATTGAATTACCTTGATCTTAGTGATGGCTGAATGAAACTTCTGTTAAATTAGAGGCTGGCACTAAGATATCTCTGCAGGCTACATAAAGGCAAACAAATTAGGAGGGTTTTCTAGACTAGAGGGAGTGCTTCATTTCGTTCAGCATCCTGCAGAATCTTCCCAAACTCATTTGCTCCTGACTGTTCAGACAGGATGATAGAAAGATGTCCCTTCTCCTTTCTGTAAGGGAAATGAGTGCATTTAAAAATTTCCAAGAGAAATGGTCTCTTTCTGGCCATTACCACTTTTGACTTGAGGTGAAAATCATCACTGAAAAAAGCAGCTCAGCTTTACTATGCTTTTTATGTTTTTCAATGTGGCATAGTTCCAGTCCTGTACAATTTCAGGATTCCAGGTAAAAAAAAAATGCCCTTTTTGTTTTTTTTTATTTTTTCAGAAATCTGTGTGACTTCCTACTTCCTTTCCTAAAATGGCTTTTTTTTTTTTTTTTAAGATTTGTTTGATGAGGATATTTCTTCTTGTTTCTGTATTATGTTTTTGCAACACAAAGAATGTAAACTTTAATTTCAGTGTCATTAGAGACCAATATTGTATTTTGATACTGTAAACATGTCTTGAATACGGTTTTAAGGCCTACTTCAAACTTCTTTGATTTCACTAAGCCTTGTTTTGCACTTTTATCTCACTGCCTGGGGATATAGGACTTACCTCTGTTCACAAAACAAGGGAGGTCACTGCACCAAAGTTTCACTTGATGTCTACTTCAGAGAGAGTGCTTGGCCAATGCCACTCATAATGTTCTGATTTTAAAAGAATTTTCAGAGCTTATGTATTGTTACGATTATGCCTACATGAGACAGCACAGCGTCAAGGGGAAATGTATCGGCTAATTTGGGCACTGAAAGCAGTACAGTCTGTTCAATGTGGTTTTCTTGCCAAAGCTGAGGGGCTGTACCAAACAGCAGGGAATAACCAGGAGGTCTTGCTGAAATCACCTGGATGCAGCCACTCATTGAGAACTGGCTCAGGTGTCTTCCTGGCTGCTGCACCATGCCAAGGTACAGCCTTCCTACCTGCTCTGTTCCAAGACTTCTAAGGCTTTAGGAGTCCAGATCTAAGGATTAAGATTTACACATTCCATCAGGGTGTCTTCTCAACCATTGTGTTTTTCATGTGTCGCAATCACCTACACAGTAGCACACTTGTTCAGCAAATAACAACCTTCAGCTCTTTAACTTGCTTTCCTGATTCAGGGACATTTTTCTCATTAATTTTGACATGGATTTAATTGACCAAATTTCACATTTCAAAACCAAAGAACTGTGAGACGCATGTTTTAATCCTCCCAGTAATGTTTGAAACTATTTTTAGGGAATTTCATGGTTTTCAGCTTTGGCTTTCCTGTGGTGAAGAAAGATCACACAGCCTTGTGTACAATGTATGCTAGTGCCCTACTTCTTTGCCTTCAGAGCTATGAATTAAATCAATGCTTTTATCTTAGTGGTAGTCTTAACTGTCTCTGACTTAATTGTTTTCCCATTATTATTTTGTGGTACTTTTAGAAAAGGATTCAGCATTTCTTAAAATACTTTTGGGAGTAGACAGGTTGCTTATTTGCCATATGAGAACACTTTAGAACTTTAACAAGTTCAGGACTACGCTGCTGGCCCATTTACAAAGGGACTCTCTAGAATAGCTGCTGCCAGTGAGCTTTGTATCTGAATTTTTAATGGGTCATGAGCAGTTTGACTCCTGTTTAATTCAGGGACAAGGTAGGAACTTCTCTTTTGGTTCTAGCTTTTCTAATGTCTAGTATCCAGAAATTTCCCAGACTTAGCAATGGAAAATCAACTTTTTAAGAATCTCAGCTGGTGGAGGAACTCTGTGCTGTCTGCAGCACTCTGCAATGCCCAAGACCAGAAGGAGCAAAGTCCAAGATGGATAGCATTACATTAAATGCTGAGGTTTTAGCAGCAAAGGAAAGAAGTCTGAATTTGATGTTTGAGGAGGCCGGTGGAGGAGTTAATACAAAAAATAAACTGAGGGTCTTTTGACAGCAGCATTTAAATATCTCTGAATGGAGAAAAAATGTGCCACCAGAGAAGCTAAGTGGGGTCATCTGAGGCAGTCCCAAAAGCTTGTTCAGTGGAAGATGGCTTATGCACAAAATTTAAAGGTTTTAGGTCATACAAAGAATGTGTAGTCAGAATTCTCTGAAGTAATTTAGGGAAAATTACTCACTAAGGATCACTAAGAATCCCACTGTGAAGTCTTGGTCCTTGAGACTCTGTGCCTGTCTGTAGTTTGCCAAGATATTTGTTTTGTGGGGGAGGATCAGTGGATTAAAGCAGCGGATACTGCTGAGGCTTGCACATGTACACTATATGCATCTCAAGACTATATATATATATTCTGCTTCCTTGGATAGATGCCCCTACTGCATATGCACTTTGAAGCAGGTCAAGTAATGTGTTCAGATTCTTGGTATCTCTTTTAGACACTGAGTATATTTGGAAGACAGCTGAGCCTCCAGTGCAGTTTTCTCCAAAATAAGCTTAATTCTTATACACCAAATCCACCTTGCAGACTGAACCAAGGTTCAACAAGGGACAATGATTGGGAATTTAGAAGAGCACTATTGTCTCAAACCAAAATGCTAATAGAGACTAGAACTTGAACTACTCCCTGTCTGTTCGCATCTCATCACAGAACTTAGTAGCTGAATACAAATTGAAGCAACTCTCTTCTACCTTCCTACCTTTTCCCCAACACCACCCCCCAGAAAAAAAAAAAAAAAAAAAAAAAAAAAAAACACAAAAAAAAAACCACCAAAAAAAAAGCCAAACCTTAAAATGAAACAACTGGACATTAAGGGGATATGAGTATGTGGAAGAAAATAAAGGAATAATTTTCAGTCAGTATGAATTGAAAAATATGACATTATAAATTGATTGATAAAACCTCTGGAAAAATGTACATGCAGCAGATTCCAGATGTCTCTCCCCACAAGTTTTCTTACCAGATGGTACATGAGATCTTTCTTTCTTAATATGTCTTTATGTTCAATGGTAGCACGCCATTCAGACAAAGGGGGAAAAAAGGGTATTTGTGTAGCGCCTGCTTGTTGGGACAATGTGCTTACTGTGTTCTACAGTCAGATGAGCACTTATTAATTATAAATAGAATGCATTTGAATTACTGTTATATGTTTATCTCATTGTGTCACTTTAGGTTTTGAAATACTAATAAGAATTGCTATGCATTATGCAGCATTATTTGAATTATTCATGTGTGGCAAGTGGAGTTCTGCACTTTAAAATGTTGCCTTGGCCTAATGTTCATATTTATGCTGTATTTTTGTGAAATCCTAAGGTTTTGTAGGGGAAAAAAAGTGTATTTTTTCACTGTACTGAAATTTTTAGTAAGTTGGCTTTCTCTTAGGAAAGAGAGCTTTAAAATTACCCTGTCTAAAATTCTGTGCCTGATTAAACACTCATGAATGGAAAAAAATATAATGGTTTTATGAACTTGAATACTAACATTTAATGTAAAAAGAAGTTCAGATAAATAGATTTTTTTTTTCAAATATAATTATGATAATGCAATGCAACTTCACAAGAGGCATTACTGTTGAATATCTACAGTTAAATTGAGCAAAAGAGAACATAGTGATTCTTGATTATTCATTTAAAAAGAATACTTAGGCCGAAGTTCTTTCAAAGAATATCCCAATTTTAAAAGGAAAAGATATTAATGTCATTACTCAGACAAGCTGTTTAAAAATACTATTTTAAGCATTTGCAGGAACAATCCATAACAGATGATAAGGTGGACATACTTTAAAGTTCTGGATTTTCATTAATAAACTATGCTGCTTTATTTGCAGCCTGGTATGTGTTAGGAATCAACTCACCTGTAAAATGACAGTGTATAGTCACAGAATAAACTAAGCTGGAAGGGATCCTCAAGGATCATTGTATCCAACTCCTGGCCCTACATGGCAACATTCCCAAGGACAGCTAAAAAATTAATTTCAGAAGACATTTGAAAACACTGGTAGCAGAATCCAAAATACTGCAAAGTAGAAAGGAGTTTGAACTGAGGAACTCATAAAAAGATGACAGGTCAGTGAAATTTTAGGTGTGAAATGCTCAGAAAAAAGATACTTTCCTAGGTAATGTTCTATTAGACCATGGATGTCATTCCTTCTAAAAGTTAGGAGCCCCAAAACCTGACTAAGTTCCCAAATAAGTTGCTTACATACTTAATAATAGAAGCCGAAATACCTGCTTATGGGATTATGTATCTCTTCACGACTTCTAGAGCTCGGCTTCAAGATTTAAATCAAAATTATCTGTAATAGCTCCAGAGGAAACAATGTAAGGGCCTGATATGTTTTATCTACACCTTCCCTGTGAGACATTTAGCACTGGCCAGAACAGAGGCTGAATTATTCTGGTCCCAGTGAAGAATTTCTGTTTATGCATGTCCCAGACATCATTCCCTTTCATGTGCGTGGTGATGCAGTGATAACTGAGTTCAGCACAGACAAACAGTCTGGTGTGACTGAAGTGTCTGAATACAAACTGTTTTAAATATCAGATTGTTTAGAAATTAAGCTCATTGCTGAGACCAATAAATACGTTTAAATCACACAATCATCTATCTAGTACTGAACTTCTAGATACTAGGACATTGGCTTAAATCTGTGGGGGTTTTAAGCATTATATGTGCAGCAACTCATGCTTCTCTCAACAGAGAAACTAGCAAATGATATCTCCTAGGTATGAAAAAGAGTAACAAAATCAACAAACATCATTCTTGGGAAGCCAAAAGGACATCAGCAGCATTAACAACAATCTGTTGTTTGAAGTTAATAGAACTGTTAGTTTATGTGGAAAGTCTAAGCAATGTTTTTGGAAGGCAGTTTCCTGGAAACTTCAGTGGAAATTCTTTATTAGAAAATGCCCAGAATCGGTGTGCTCCAGCTGAAAGGTCCTTTGTGGCTTCTGCAGAGCCAGTCACTTCTGCAGAAGTGAATGCATTAGTCATGCCTAGACCCTCACTTCTTTACCCTGTCATGACTCGTAAGTGTGTATTAGCTTTAATTCTGGTATTGGCTTGTGGCTTCTCATAGACTGAGTCTTAGTTTGAAAATAACTATGGTAAAGAGCAGAGCTGGGAGAAGGATAAGGATAAAGGGCAATCTTACACCAGCCTGCCTAATGCTTCAACACAAAATATTTTTCCCACCAGGTAGATGTTGTTACATTTCAGCAGCTCTTAGACTCAATGATTTGGCTTAATGACTTGAGTCAACTAGTAACAATTAAACTCAGTCAAGGCTAGGATATAATCTAGATGTTTTACTGTGATCTGCATTTAAGCCATGAGCAGCTTTCCTTGGCCAAGGGCTCCTTGGCATATTTAGGTACAACAAACTGGAGGTAAGCCTACTGGAGAAGGGGCCAGTTTTGGTGACAACTGAAGGCTGTAAACTGCATCCTGTCTGGCCTTGTGGCTTTGGAGCTGGGTTGTGTACTCCTCTAACAACTTTTAGTGATGAAGCTTTTAGAAAACATTAGCATGTGCTCCTTAACTGAGGATGTTTACATCCCTTGCTTCAAGACAAATTTTCTTTCCCCACAGGAGAGTTCACATCTTGCTGGAGTAAGTTTTTCTGATGCAGATTTGTCTGCTTATCACCTGTCGTGCATAAGCTCTGGTTCATGTGAAAATGCCTAACTGGAGTTAATGTTGTTGAATTTATCCTTCCTTTTGTACTTGTGCAGTTTCAAGGAAGAACTATGTATTAGGATAAATGGTATATGCAATTTCCACTGTTCTGCTTGGTTTTGATCACGCTAAATAGGAAGTCATGTACTGTTGAAACAAAATAAAGAGGCCTTGTATTTACGCCAGCCCTCGTCTCTTTCTGTATTTGACTTTTGAGAAGAGAGAGAAAGCTGACAAGCTGACTAATAAACAATGAAGGCCAAAATACACAGCAACATACCCTGTTCTCTGGGGAACCTGGGCAACCCCCCATCACAGGAATTTGCAAACTCTTGTTCATATGTACAATGTTATTTTAGGGGATCTTTTTTCAGATTCAAAGCTCTTACAGGTTTTGATGTGTCTTTATTACCAGATCTGTTGGCTTCATCAATCAAAGCCAGTGGTTCAGTAGCCACTTTATATTTTTTTTGTGTTGAAGCATACTGAAATGCTTGCTTCTTTTGCTTACCAAAAGAGTCACATCTCCTTTGAAGTGTTTCTTCACTTTCTTACTTTTCAAAGCCTAGGCATAAAAATCTCCCCAGTTTAAGCAGCTCTGAAATTAACCAGAAGTGGATTTTCTTAAAAGAAAAACTGCCACAAGAGGACCACTAATTACACACTGAGGAATTGTATACTGAAATGTTGAGAATTATGTGCAAGCTGTTATCAACCTGTTCAAAATTTTGTGCACAAGAAATAAAGCTGTTCTGTATTTTTATCAACCAGCAGAGAATAGAAAGTGAAAGAAAACTTCTTCATAGACTACTTTCCTTACTAGGAGGCTCCATTTAGGCTTTCAGGATGGGAATTCTGCTACTTGGCACTTTACTTTTGAAAAATACCACTAAGAAATGCTTTCGCAGTATTTTGCTGGAGTACTCTGTTGAGACTTACCTGTTTAAAGTAGTGTGAGCCCCAGATGCAAGCAAAATTCTTATGGTGTAGAGGCTTTCCAAATAAATTTGAAAATTGGAGAGCCTTTGGTATGCTCTCAGTAAATCTCAGTATAGAATTATCTGTTTCACTACAATGAGTTGATGCAGGCACAGTTTGTACAAGAGAAAACAGTTTGCAATCCCCCCAAAAAGCCACTGAATAATCTTGAATACTTCATCAACGTAAATTTATCAGTCTTCTCTCATGACTGTAAAGCAGAAAACAAAAATTCTCTTGGTCTGAGATCAGATACTGGATCATTTATATTTCAGCTTAATAAGTTTGCAGTTCATGACTTAAGAGCATAGTTAAAATGCAAAATGCAGGTTGCTTGCCCTATGCTTGTAATCTGTAATCAGCTGTTTTCCTTTCAAAGCATGTGACTGCATTCTTGCATTATTTTTAATTAAATATGGCCTTCAGGAATGACCTTAAAAATATGGCATAAAGGCCATGAAATAAAGCTGAAATATGAGCAATGCTTCTTCCTTTCATAATTGGTGTTAGTTGTAACATCTCAAAATATTGAAGTATTTTTCTTCTTAGAAACTGAAAGTATTAAGCAGTAGAACCTTTTTATCTCAGCCCCTGCTTGAACCAATCTCACCTCCAAGCACACTGGTGAAAGTTTACAGCTGTCAGAAACCCAACTTCTCTGATAATTCATATAGGATATCAACTCCAGCTAGCTAAGGGCAGCATTAATACTCACTGTATTCTCTCGATGCTCTAAAAATTATTCCCTGGCCTTTTATTTTAAGAAGGAATCCTCATTGTTGTATTTTTATGACTTGTGAAGCAGCAAACAGATGTGCCACGTGCGATCAGCACTGCCTTGCAGGACACAGCAGCCAGCGATGAGCAATCCTCCCTACCCCAGTCGGGGGTCTGCCTCTGGCCATATCCTGCATTGTTATACAAAATTCACTTGCTTGAGGGGTAACAGGAAGAAGAGAAGAGTTTGAACTGTGTGCAGCAGATGCTGTTAGAGGAAGATTCACAGATTTTGTTAAGTGTAAACCTAAAAATTGAAGAGTTGCAACCCTCTGCTCTGACATTTCCAGGTCAGAGAGGGGTGGCTGAGGCCATAGCTCATGTCTTCAAGTACCCACCCTAGGGCTGAATGTGCCGGTGAAACACACAGAGTGGATTTGAGTGACCAGGATTAGAGTTGTTTCAGGCACAGTAATTACATACTGAGCAACATAACACTGTGCACGTGCTAAACACCCAATGTCTCAGCTTACTATTGGTCTTTCTCCCTCAAGTGTAGTGCTGTGATGAGCCCCATGCTGATGGTCGGAAGGTTGCTTGACACCCTGTTGCTTAGCCAGCCTACAGAAGCAGTCCAGACTCTCTCTGGAGGCCTGTTGGAGATCAGGGAGATCCCACCACTAGGGCATCCTCATCTTAATGACATCACAAAATGTCGAATTAAATTCAAATTGCTGCATTTGCACTTCTTCTGATATAAAACCCATCTTAATGCAGTTTATGCGCACAGACAGCTCTCTGCTGCACCCCTGCCTGTTCTGGGGGCTGCTGCTGTCCTGTAGTGGCTGCGACTTCTGACTGTAGGTGTTGAAGTGGAATTGAGGCCAGGTGAGGCAGCATGGGATGGTGTCATGAGCTACCTTCATAAATGCCTGCACTTCAGTTTTTCCTCTCTTTAGAATGAACACAGCTTGGCAGAAAAACTCCTTTGTAAAACCCTGTGAGGATTTAAAGGGGAAATAAAAGAAATTAAAATAAGAGAAAAAGGAAAGAAGGAGCAAAAGGAATAATGAGAAAAACAGCAGGAGGGGAAAAAAGCATTTTTTCTTACACTATTTCCTAGGCTTGATCTTACAGAGGTATTTTATAGTGGAAGCAGCTCAAGGAGGTGGGTGGAGGGCAGTGCCTACCTGTGCTGCTCTTCCCTATCCCTGCACAGGTCTTCTGTCCTCCTGGAGGCTCCTCAAGGCTGGCTGGCAGGATATCTGTAGTCATCCTAATCCCCTGGTTAACCACAGCCCTCTGAGAATGCCCCTTCAAAGTACCGTGTTTCATCACTTTTTCTGAGCCCTTCATACCTCTGAAACACAATCCATCACCTAGAGAAGCAGCTGCTTACTTGCAATTTGCAGTCATTGCCGTACAATGTCTGCGACCATTTCATACTTTTGCCTTCAAAGCCATATAAACCTTCCATTAAAAAAGACCTCCAGGCTTCTTGTAGTACTGAAATCTGCAGTGGAGAAGAGGACATGACCTGTCCAAAGAAACACCTTGTTGTTTAGGCCATGAAAATTGCATTTATAAAATCACTGCAAAGGTATTTAAAAAGCAATTTTAATATAAATTTTCAGAAGCACAGCTTAAGAAACTTCAATGGCAAGATTCTTTGCATTACATACTATATGAATGAAATATATAAAATAAAATCAGATAAGAATTGATTTAGAATTATTTACTAGGAGACATAGAAAATGTAAGGATGCAAAAAGGGAGACCATCCTTCTGAGTCATGAGATTTGGGATGGACCCCCTCATTTTCTAAACTACCAGCAGATACCTGTCAGGTTGAAATCCTCTATGAGTGCAAGGGTGGCACTTGTAAGATTTCTCCCACCCTCCTGTAGAATGAATAATCTGCCTTTTCATCCTGGCTAGGTGGTCTGTAACAGACTCCTACCAGGACATCGACTCTGCTGACATTCGCCTGATCTTTACCCACTCAACCTGTCATCATCATCATCATCAGTTTCAATCTAATCTAAACAGTCCCTCACAAGCAATGCTATCCCACTGCCTCTCCTGCTTCACTTATCTCTTCTAAAGTTCTTAAAGCCACACAAGAAAGAAAGTAAAATTGCACCTATTGCAAAAAACCACCCTATTTTCTCCTGGCAAATGTTATCTGTAAATTCTGCTCAGAATATTAAATTGTTGTGGGACTAAATAGCCTTTAAGCTGGCCTGAGCAATTCTTTTTCCTACATAATACCCATCCTGTGGATTCAAAGAAGCCTTCAGCTATCCCACTGATGATCCTAGCCCTTATATCTTCAAATAAAAATAACCCATAACTTTCTGATGTTAAAAATTATTGATTTGGGGAAAACAATGCAGCAAAGGGAGTGGGCACAAGAACACCAGAGTTGATGCTTCACATGGACAGCAGGTACATCTCTATGGCACACCCCCCTCCCCTCACTCTGTGTCCTCTGCAGGGATAGCTGCACTATTCATTATCGTTCAATCATGTGAAAAGCTTGAGATGGGTCAGACACAAGGTCTATCTAGCAAAACTGTCATGTTTCTAGTAAGGCTGATGAATAATAAGGATGTACAGGAAGAAAGCAGGACAACCCTTCCCTTGCAGACTCCCCTGCTTTCAGCCAGTAAATTGTATACGCTCAAGTCAACACTGCATTAGAGAAGTTCATTTTAGCTCTTTAGTTTTTCTAGTCCCTTTATGCTACATTCATATTTTTGCTTTTTGCAAAATCCAGCAACTGTGAATCCCATCGGTTAATTTTTTGTTGGTTGGCACAGTCCTTTCTTCTGTTTGTTTTACTGGCTGCCTAAACACATACCTCCTTCCCAGAGTGCAAGCTCAAGTGAATAGTATAGTGTCGCCTTTTCAACTAGCATCACTGTCTGTAAAAATGATTTCAAGGAAGACTAAGAATGTTTTCTGCTTCTTATACTTTTGGTTCAATTTATCAAATGGGTGTGTTCATGTATTTTTTTGTAATTCAGTTTGACACAGAAAAATTAGGGCTGGACTGTAAATTACATGTGTAGACTGGACTGCTTTCTCAGTAAACAAGGAGAAGCTATCAGTACTGCCTATCTCCCAAACCAAACAGGCTATTTCATAGATCTGGAAGCAGCAGAACATTTTGCATGTTTCGCAGAGCAAAACAGGCTGGCATTTGCCTCAAAGCATTAAAAGATCTTGTTTCTCCCTGTTAAGGCTGATAGACATTCTAAGCTGGGAATTGCTGGAAGATGGTGTCAGATTCAGGGTTCACCAGACCTAAAAAACCCCTATTGTGCAGCTAACATCCTTCACTTGATCCAAGACTGATTTACAGCATCAAACGTCCACCTTTTCCTCCTTCCTGTACAAATGTGCTGTGTGGTATGAGAGCCACTATGAAGAGGATAGCAGAAACTCATAGAAGGGCATAGAAGAAGGGGAGAGAAGGAAAAGAAGG